AATAAGTATAAGACTAATTCGATATTGTTGTCCACACATTGTTCAATATATTACGCATATTATTAATTTTTGCCTAACTAATAATATTTTTCCGCTTTCATGGAGGAGAGCGGTGGTGAAGGTGTTGCCAAAAAAATCAGATCCTCGAGAGTATAAAGATCTTCGACCTATTAGCATGTTGCCAACATTATCTAAAATCTTAGAGAAAGCTATAGAAGTGCAACTTAGGAAACATATTGACGCCTACTCTTTGTTACCTGTAACTCAATCAGGTTTTCGTAAAGGCTATAGCTGCACAACTGCTTTACTCCATGTGGTGGATGATATTATTAAATCTTTGGATAAGGGTCATTGCACAGTTTTGGTCCTACTAGATTTTAGTAGGGCATTTGACACTCTTAACTATAAATTAATGTCATCTATTCTAAGTAATTTAGGTCTTTCCCAGAATGCAGTGTCTCTTTTAAATTCATACCTTACAAATCGACAACAGCTAGTTACGATCAATGGTCAGTCTTCTCCTTACTTAGATCTCCAATGTGGTGTACCCCAGGGTTCTATTTTAGGTCCCTTACTCTTTGCTCTGTATACATCCAATATTTTAAAATGCCTTCAAAGCTGTAATGCTCACTTGTATGCGGATGACACTCAACTTTACTACAGTTTTGACCCCAATAAAGTAGATTATGCATGTGCTTGTATAAATAGAGACCTTGAATTATTTGTAAAATCAGCTTCTGACCACTGTTTGAAAATAAATTGTAGCAAATCTAATGTTATTGTCTTTGGTACTAGATATAAACGCGATTCTGTATTAGAGAATGTAAACATATTAGTTAATAACGAGCGTCTTGAATTAGTAAATCATGTTAAAAGTCTTGGTGTAGTTTTAGATGCTGATTTGCGATTTGAAAAACATATAAATAACTTAATTGGGCGTGCATACTCAACAATCAAATTGATATATGGAAATAGGCAGTTCTTATCTTCTGATATCAAAAAGCTTTTATGTGAAAGTCTTATTCTCTCGATCTTTAATTATGCAGATGTCCTGTATGGGCCATGCTTAACCAGCCAATATAAACAAAAAATTCAAAAGGTACAAAACTCTTGTCTTCGCTTAATTTTCGGTATTCGAAGAAGACTGCCTATTTCTCACAAATTAAAGGAAATAGGATGGCTTAACATGTACAATAGAAGAACACTTCATGCTGCAAGTACATTTCACAAAATTATTGTTAATAAAACTCCATTATATTTGTACAGGAAAATCACTTATCGAACTGACGTGCACAATTTAAATATAAGACATAAAGGTATACTGTCTCCACCACCATTTAGGTTAGAGCTGTTTAGACGATGTTTCTCTTATAATGTATGTGCAATTTATAATAATGTTCCAAATTCACTAAAATCTGTCAGTCATGAAAAATTCAAGAAATCATATAGAAATGTGTTATATGCTGCATAGTTGTAAATGCTCAGATAGTGTTTAATAGGTATATCTCATGTCTTTCTAATTTCTTTTTTTTTATTTATTTTTCTTTTCTGTGTTATGAACTGTTCAAGCGATATATTTATAAATATAATATAATTTTATTTTTTTTTATTGTTTTGGGTTAAGTGGAAGAGCAATTCAGTGGTGAGTTTCATCACATGAATTGAACTTCGCCCTTTATTTCTCATTTTGCATAAAATGTAGCGAATTGATATATATGTAATTTTGTAAATATTCTGTATATTCAAAATGAAAATAATAAAGACATTTATTATTATTATTATTATTAAATATGCTACCGGGCATTGCCGACTAAAAGGACACCTAAGTAAACTGAGAGTAGTAGAGGATAGTGAGTGCAGATTCTGTGAGGAGGAGGAGGAGGACGAAACCTCCATTCACATCCTAACTGAATGTGTAGCACTCCAGAATCCAAGGGCACTATATCTAGGAGGATATCAAATAGAAGAGGGAGATTTACCTAACTTGAAGCCACTTCAAATCCTACACTTCCTTAAGAAAATAGGATTGGAAAGGTCGCTATAGGCATTGAGACATTTCCTTAGTGCAGTGGCGACAGAAGGAAGCACAATAGATCTTTTAGGTCGCAGTGTATTAACACCCCATTCTCAACATAACATACATATCGTTCCTGTATTTCCTCCAAAATTTTGATTTAAAGGTCTATTTGATTGGACGAATATCAAATGAAATTTGTAGACTTTGTAATAAAATTATTCTATAAAATACTATGTAACATAAAATCTTCCACACATTTTTCATTTCTCGAAACTTATTTTGCTAAGAAACTTATTTTGCTAATATAATCTGAATCATTCCTTTTATAACAATAAATATAACTTACATTTTCTAAAAAAAAAAAAAAAAAAAAAATTGTAGGTACTCCCATATAGCTCAATAGTTCAAGAAATAGTTATATTCGGATCTCTAAGGATACAAATTATAGGAAAGAGAAATTTAATGTTAAAAATAAATATCTTTTTTTTTAAGGTGAAGGGGGAGAAAAAGTCCTTTATATCTCACAAGGAAAGTTAATGTTTATTTATTCAATAAAACATTGAGTGCGACCGGTTTCGAAGTATCATCACTTCATCTTCAGGCTCGCCTAGTGGAAAGGAGAATATGTGGTGTAAGGTGTGTTAACTTTGAGCCAACGATATATAAAATAGTAAAAAAGAAAACTCACCATACTCTCCATCCACTAGGGAATACTACAAACAAGTTTCATCAAATGTGGGGGATGAAATAAATTGTAAAATAAACAATGTTACAAGTTATATAAAAGTTAAAAATATTTGAAAAACAAATATTAGTCAGTTTAAATAGTTAAAAATTTAAAATTTTCAAGACTATACAAAACAAAACACATACATTAAACAGATAATACTAAAACTAATAAATATCTATTTATGACTATTAACATTATTAACTTGTTTTTCGAACAAAGATAAATTTCTCTTCTAATGGTTACTAATATTTAATTAGATATCATCTGTTAGGTGCCAAATCTATTTTAAATGTCAATTAACGAATATTCGCCTTTGTAAAATAATCACTTTATGAGGTTCTAGCTGTTGCCCGCGGCTTTGCACGCGTAGAGCCGTGTTTATAATTAAAAAAAAGCTTAACTTTTATTAATTTTTATTAACTTTTATTAATTTTTATTAATTATTATTAATTTTTATTAATTTTTATTAATTTTTATTAATTTTTATTAATTTTTATTAATTTTTATTAATTTTCATTAATTAATTTTTATTAATTTATTACTTTTATTAAATTAACTTTTATTGATTTTTATTAATTTATTTTACTTTTTATTAACTTTTATTACTTTTTACTTTCCTATCTGTATACAGATATAAGGAAAGTATAGGAATCATTATTTTTTTCGACCTCGAGTTTTGACCGATTTTTACGTTTTGAGGTCCCCTGAATCCGTTTTGACTATTTTCGCGATGATGTCTGTCTGTGTGTGTGTGTGCGTGCGCGTGTGTGTCGCATAACTCAAGAACCGATACACAGAAAAACAGCAAATTTCAAATTTAAGCTTTGTTCCAGCGTCCAATGTGCTGATTAGATTTTGGTCAGTGTCGGAACATCTGGGGGGGTACTTTATAGGTGGTCATTTTTATATTTTATGGAATATATCTGTTATTTACGTTTGGGGAAGAAATTTCTTCAAATAAAAGTTACTTCTTATATTATTATCTAAAATTTTTGTTCTATACAAAATTTTCCTAAAATGGTCCGTATTCGAGAAATTTGACAAAATGTAAAAAAATATTTTTTTATAAAAATTGTTCAAACAAAAGTTGTTTGTAATATAATTCTCTATAATTTTTATCCTATACATAATTTCTCTAAAATGGACCGTATTCGAGATATTTGAGAAAATGTGTAAATTTCGAAATTTGAAGAAAACTCAAAAACGGATAAAGAAAAAAACATTAAATTTTAAACTTAAGTTTTATTTCGGCCTGACTGAAATGATTAGATTTTGGACAAAGTCGGAACATCTGGGGGGGTACTTTATGGGGAGCCGTTTTTATATTTTATTGAATATATCTGTTATTTATGTTTGGAGAAAAAAATTGTTTAAATAAAAGTTATTTCTAATATTATCTATAATTTTTGCTTTTTGTCAAAATTTCCTGAAATGGTCCGTATTCGAGAAATTTGACAAAATGTGCAAAATTCCGATTTTTATGAAAATTGTTGAAATAAAAGTTTTTGCAATATCGATCTCTATAATTTTTGTTTATACATGATTTTTCTGAAATGGACCGTAATGGAAAAATTGTAGGAAAAGTGCTAAATTTAAATTTTCCAGTATTTTAATTTTCAATGAATATCTATAGAAAAATGTTTCGAGGTAGATGTATGTGGAAAATGTATATATTTATTTTATCCTCTAAACATTTATGGAGGTGCTGCAATAGGTTGTACAAAATAACCGGAAAAAGCCTGTAATAACTAGATAGGAAAGTCATGTGTTGGACACATCAGATTTTTATTATAGTTTTTAATTTTTATTGTTTATTATTACTTTTTATTGTTTATTATTACTTTTTATTTTTTTAGTTTATTTTTATTTATTTTTACGATACTTCCCATTATATTATGTGGAAATCCAAAACCTTGAAATATGTCATCATTTATTTATGCTACAATTCCAATTTTCAAGTTCCTACCTTTAAAAAACCGAAAGTCTCTAAAAACCTTCAATAAATATACTAAGAATTATATTGACAGAATTGTCACTAATTTTACATTTATAAATAATAGTTTGTTATGTGGGTACTAAACGTTCCGCGTTCTAGAATGGATAGAATTGTTAATTAAGAAATAAAAGTGTTAAAAGGAAAAAATAGCAATGAACCACAGTAGACTACTTTCATCAGCCTCGCAACTTAACATTATAATTAACTTATCTACCTTGGTATAATAAAATACTGTAATATTATTTAAAAACACTTACATTTAAAATGTCATTAGGAGAAGTAGCCAAAGAAAACGGTGCTGTAGGTCTAGCCACTCCCAATCTTACAGGAGCAATCAAAGAATCGGCAGTTTCACATAATTCCTCTATGGATAGTTTTGACAAAGATTGAAATACTCTTTTACATTTGCTCAAGGGTAAATTCTGATTGCCGAAACGTTGTCGTTTAGTTGTATTTGGTGCCATCTCAATGCTAAATATCACAAAAATCCTGACAACTGATCTAACAAATCTAAAAACAGATTTTCAATAATTACAGTATGTAAAAATGGTTTCTCGAGAAGAACGTCAACACGGTACCTTCGTGGATGTCAGTCATAACAATGACTGTAAAGGGCTCTATACTGATTCTGCAGCAATTCCAACTTACCTTCTAGCAATCAAATGGGCAATCTCTCTTTGTTTGAAATCATTAGTTTTCATCTCTTTAATAATAGTCTCAAGGAGAACGTCTAAAACCATCTGGCATTTAACAAAGAAACAATGGGTAAATTTATCCAACAACGTAGTTCCCGTTTGCCCAGTGACATATGGTTGGTCTTCATAAGGGCCTTCTTTGGTTGATTCGTTTGAAACTCCAGACATAATCATGCTTTTGACAGCTTTCCAATCACCCAAAAGACATTCTAGGGCTCTGCGGCTGAACCTTGGGGGTTCCAAGTCGTGTTCTGGCATATCTGATTCAACTAAGAGAAAAAAATATGTTGAGAAAGATATGTTATTAGAAACTTGTTTTAATGATTTAAAAAACTTAAATACTATATAAACACTTACCATCTGATGAAGGAGTCTTTGTTCTTGAATTGGAAGATGCTGTCCTAGATCTTGAGTTTCTAAATTGCCTTTGTTCCTGATTCTGTCGCCCTACAGTTTGAACTAAGAAAAGGAGAATACTTTCACCCCTAAAATTGTTTAAAAAAAGTTAAGACTTTTAAAACATTATTTTTAAAAAACAACTAACAATGTGATAACACAAATCAAATATTAATTCAGATAATTAGATAGTAGACACTCATCTATAATCTTTAAAATGTTGGTGGTAGAAGTGTGATAATTTTGATCAAGAATAACCATTAATATTAATTTCAATTTGGCAGTCTAACCAAATGAATTGAAAAATTAAAAAAAAAAAAAAAAAAACTATGTATATATAGAATTCTATACTAAATGATCGGGGAAGCGCTAGCGCTCGGGCCATTTTGATAGTTATGTACTTGTTCTAACAGATTGACAAATTTAAAGTATTGAGATAATTATTAAACTGTTAAGACAATTCTCTAACCTTGAATTGGGCTGACACACCAAATTGGTCTCTTTAACCAAACGTGTCAATAATTCATATCTGACAGTCTGATTTCCCATTATGAGAGCTTTGCATTTGCATTTTTCCCAGCAATCACAGTAAGCAGTCGGAGAAGTTTTCTTCAATTTGCAATCATGCCCTTTGTGACAGACTCGGGCACATTCGGTACAACAGCAAAGAGTACCTATTATATAAAAAAAATTATGTATAAATTTATTTAACAAAAAACTATTTGATATTAATATACCGAGAGATGATGACAGATGGAAATTGACGATTTTCTCCTTCATGCCTCTAAAGGTAGTGAGAAGTCCGTATGGGCTAAGACAAACGATGTAGTATTTGGACGTGTTGGGTTTTCACGAACACATAAAATATGTGTTTGTAGATTAGTTTTTCACTCAATAATTCTGTTGCTTGTAACATGGTTTCAATATACTTGTATAACGATTACATCCTATTACAAGGCAAGGCATGATTTTGCTTTTTTTTGAAGTACAATATTTTCGGTAGTGCTCAACAAATACAGATGAACAGTAGTTTAAATGTAATATAGTCGATTTGTAGATTGTTAATTTTGACTATTCTCTATTTATAAACAGATCTCAGCCGAGTCGGACTTGGCTGAGATCCTCTAAGATGAAAATTGAAGTTCGGTTTATCGCGTTAACTTAGAGATGGGTTCTAACAAGTCCTTAAAGGTACTTAAATTCTAGTGTAACACCGGAACAACCTGAAACTTTAGAGAAGTTGTAACCGAACTTCGATTTTCGTTCAAGGACAACTCAGCCAAGTCCGACTCAGCTGAGATCTGTTTATAAATACGGGCCTTAAGTACGTACTAATTATTTTTATTATATTTATCAGTTACATTGTGGTATGCAAATATCACTCTCAATAGTATTATTAAGGAGGTTATGTTGTTAGTAATTTTATTATGTAATGTATGTAATGTATGTAATGTATGTAATGTATGTAATGTATGTAATGTATGTAATGTATGTAATGTATGTAATGTATGTAATGTATGTAATGTATGTAATGTATGTAATGTATGTAATGTATGTAATGTATGTAATGTATGTAATGTATGTAATGTATGTAATGTATGTAATGTATGTAATGTATGTAATGTATGTAATGTATGTAATGTATGTAATGTATGTAATGTATGTAATGTATGTAATGTATGTAATGTATGTAATGTATGTAATGTATGTAATGTATGTAATGTATGTAATGTATGTAATGTATGTAATGTATGTAATGTATGTAATGTATGTAATGTATGTAATGTATGTAATGTATGTAATGTATGTAATGTATGTAATGTATGTAATGTATGTAATGTATGTAATGTATGTAATGTATGTAATGTATGTAATGTATGTAATGTATGTAATGTATGTAATGTATGTAATGTATGTAATGTATGTAATGTATGTAATGTATGTAATGTATGTAATGTATGTAATGTATGTAATGTATGTAATGTATGTAATGTATGTAATGTATGTAATGTATGTAATGTATGTAATGTATGTAATGTATGTAATGTATGTAATGTATGTAATGTATGTAATGTATGTATGTAATGTAAAACGAGAATAAAAGGCTTTCTTATTATTATTATTATTATTATACAAATTGTTTGAAAATCCATCAGAAGATGTATTGCATAGGAATTTGTTTAAAATGTGAAAAATTATTAGAAACTAAAATTTGTTTTAAAATAATTCATTAAATCTAATTTTCCCGAATATCATGCAGCACAGTTGATAAAAATAGTACTTATTTTTTCGTGTTAGGTATACAATTAGTACATAAGTTAACAACATAAGCAACAGACAGTCGTTGAGCAGAATTAGAAGATATAGTAGTGGGAAATTTATTAGCCAGATCGAATGTCAGTCACAAAGCCAGAGAGCATAGCGATAACGTTTTGTGATTGTTTGATTAGATAATGTAGTTGTCACATGTTGGTTCTGAAAGGACGACTATGCCTAATAAAAAATAAAAATAATAAGTACTATATTAGTATCTAACTAAACCTAGAGATAGTGAATATAGAACAATTCATATCTTGTGTGACAACATTCATCTAATCTAATTCAACCACAAAAGAGTCAACAAATAATGTAGAAGTCACACTTGCACAATAAATTGGATTAATTTCAGATTGGTATTGTTAAAACAAATCTTAGGTATAAAACTCATTTAAAAGTTGTAATTCTGCAAAGGCGACTCTAATTAGAAGTAACGATCCTGCTTAGGCTACCATTTAAGCCACGCCCAGTGGCGTCATTTTTAATAACACCTATCTTGTGGGAAGCAAGAGATGGCATGATTTAGGTGTTGGCTTCACAATAAATGACTTGTTTTGGGCATGTGTATCTACACGAAAGCAATAAAACTGTCACTTGACAGCATCAAGGAAAACTCTAAAAGACGTGTTTTTTTACAAGCCCACGTAATCGTTTTACCCTTTTGGTCACTCACTTACTTATGCACATAGCAGCACCAAATAAATCATTTACAAACACTTATTGTATGTGTTCATGAAAATTAAATTTTCTCTATGATGGCCACGAGGAACACACCCAAATACTACATCGTTTGACTTAACCTTTAGGCATGAAGGAGAAAATCGTCAAGTTCCATCTATAACTTGTCCTCAAGCAATAAAAACTACCTAATTGCAAATAAACCTGGTATTATGCGGACTAACCTGTAAGTCCACAAGTTCTACATTCAAAAATGTTTTGGTTGATGTGTTCTGCACCTGTCCAAGTAAAGCTGCAGGTGTCATTGCAGCACAACACGTGTAACGGAGAATGGTCGGGATTTGAGGCTTTAGGGAATATCATTTCATCACGTTCTTGAATGGTACCAAGTTTGATGATTTTTTCAAAAAGTTCTAAAGCTGCTGGATAGCTTCGCGACGATACAGCTAACATGAATGGGGTTTGGCCTTGAGAATCCCTAAAAGATTTTAAAGTAGTAATGAGAATATTTTTGAAAATAATTTATAAATTTTCTGTGATTTAAATATACAACTGAAAGCTCTTAGTGATATATTTTTAAGCTCAATTACTGTAATTATCCTCCATACGATTGAGTCCGAATGGTGAGTTATTTATTCATTTATTAAACGGATATAACATTTTACAAAAAAAGAATACAATATGCAAAAAAAAGTTAAAAGAGACAATATAGATATCAAACAGCATTAGATATTAAAATAATTATTAATAAAGAAAACAATAAAAGGATTCTAAAAGTTTAAATTAAAAAGAAAATAATAACATGTAAGTTTATTTAAAAATATAAGTTTCTAATAGTTTCATTTTGTGCATAGTCAGTAGAGTGGTACGAAATATAAAATAATTCAGATACACGGGTACTTCTGTTTGTGTTAAAATTCACTAGACTCAACAAATCAGGACATAGAGCTAATTCCGTTCTGAGATGCTTAAGAGAATTTAAATTAGGCCTTAACAAAACGTTGCTATATTGTTACTTCCTGTAAGAAACCCCATCTTACATGCAGCATATTCTAAAAATTTATATTAAACCCTTTCAATTATGTCGATGTTCCTTTAACGATAGGTATTCCATAAGATACAATTATATTAAACATTGGATCTCACTAGTAAACAGTATAATAATTTTCTTATCACATTTGTAAATTGAGCTAAGAAAGCTTTCCTTGAAAGGACAAAGGGCAAAATAGGATAATATTATTTGGATATTAGATGGGAAAAATTATAAATGAAATCAAAACTATGTGGGAAAAGTGGTTGCAGATAGACCTCCGAAATCCGACGCCTTAACGGGTAGAAGGGTGCAAGAGATAGGAGCTAAAGGGTATACAAAGATGTATAATGTAGGACATAGAAAAAAAAAGTATTAAAATAAGAACAGAAGAGCATAACACTACAGTTATCAATAAAAATATTACCAGATAGCTTAATGCGTTTTTTAAAGTATCAAATGCTTATTTTTACTTACTTGGCACACAACATTTCAATCAAATGCGATTCAAGTGCAGAAGAATCATACAATAAGGAGTGTAAAATTTGCATTGCATTTGACCTTCTTTCTGATGGGTCAGTCACTGTATTTCCTATGGGCGGATTTGGATGATTACCTGTTCCCTTATTCGCAGCACTGCTACCCAAGCTCATTAAACTGTCTTCATCACCAGAAGTTCCATCAAAAGTTTCTGGTGGCCAGCTGGGAGTGGGAATTGGTTCTTCTTGGACAAAGGTGGGTTGTTCTAAAAAATGTGAAATATTACGTATTTAAAATAGTTTTTAAATAAAGATATTCCTCGTCATTTTATTAACGATTTTTTACATATAATATATACCTGTTTCAGGATCCTTATTTGAAATTGGCGTGCACATATTAACAACTGCATGAAAAATATTTCGATTTCCATCACATTTCTCGTTCAAAAACGATTTGCCCATATTATGTGTCT